GATTTTGGGCACACATGCACATGTTTCTGGAGTGTTTATTCTTTTTTAAAGAGTTTTTTTTTTGCTATAGGGCACGTGTGCTCACTGGAGAGACAGAGAGACAGAAAGTGAGAAATCACCCCGCAGAGGGGATGGCTACGCTGCAATCCCTTCCTCCACTCTCCTCTCAGGACTTCGGGCAGGCACGCACAAGCACTGGGCACCGCAGCTGACTGCACGGGAGTCCGGTGACAACCATTACGCCATCTGCCAGTCCCATCCTGGTGCGCTAGACTTCCCCTTCCAGCCAGCCTTCCTGTATGCTGAAGTCCAGACTGCACAGCCTGGCACACCACACCCGTTCCTTCTCTCCCGCCACGTGGCTCTCCCTCCACTGTCTACACTCCAGACATAGCTGGAGACCTCCACTTCCTCCCATTCTTTAGGCTTGTTCATGCTGCAGTGGGCTTTTACAAGCTTTTCCCTTATTCTGCACCTCCTTCCCCTCTACGACAGACTCTTACTCATCCTGCAAGACCCAGCGTGGCCCTCTCTAAGATGGCCTTTGACCCCACCACCAGGTTGGACTCCATCACTGCCCCCCTGTGCCCATGCTGTTTCCCAGCGCCCAGAAAGGACGTCTGTACAGTGGGTCCTCCCACTCCTTCCCATACTTGTAGCCTGCCTCTTCTGGTTCAGCCCCACCATTCCCAGTGTCATCGGTCCCAGCATCCCAGCCTCCAGCCACAGTGATTGGCCCGGCATGGGCAGGTGACTCATGTGGGCCAATCGGAGGCTTTCTTGGGGCTATATGGCTTCCCACAATGAGGTCCATTCTCTTCCACATGGGCTTTCTTTTCTTTATTTAAAAAAATATTTAATTACATTTGTTATTATTATTTTTTAATTTGGCCAGATACAGAGACAGAAAGGGAAAGTGAGAAAGCAAGGAATGCCAGGTTCGGAACACAACCCGCCGTTGGCCAGTGGGAGTCCGGCACCTTTTACCACCACGCCACCTGCCGGCCCTCCCATGGGGTTTCTAAGTTGGGAGGACGTAAACCGGGTCACCTGTATGCCTGTACCATGTCACCTCCTTACAGAGAATGCCTGCCCACAGGAAGAGAAAATAAAGCAAATGTGCAAAAAGGCAAAACCAAAGGACAGACAGGCCCTGATGCTGTTAGAGCATATCGTCAGTGATAGCACTGGCACGGGCCAACGGACTCCTTTTCTGGCAGAAAGCAATTTGGGGGCCAGCAGGTAGCCTGGTGGTTGGGGAACTGAACTCCCACATGGCCACCTGCACTGTGAGATCCAGATGCGGCGGCTTTCTCTTATTTCTCTGCTCCTTCTCTGTGGTCAACATTAAAAATTAATAATAAGTAAAATTAAATAAAAATTCGGGACCAGCAGTTGGCATAATGGCTATGTCGCTGGACTCCCATGTAGTCGACTACAGTTCAAGTCTAGGACCCGGTGGCTTAAACTTATGCTGGGCGCGTGTGCATGCGTGCCCAAGATCCCGAGATGAGAATGGAGGAGAAGGGATAGCAGCGTAGCCATCGCTCCTAGGGGGGTGATTTCTCATTTTCTGTCTCTGCCACCTGCCAGCCCCAATAATTCTTTTCTAAAAAAAAAAAAAAAGGGACCAGCAGGTGATGTGGTGGTTAAGCACTGGACAGTCCCACATGGCTGACCATGGTTTGAGTTCCGGACCTGGTGGCTTGCTTTCTCACTTTTTTCCTCTCTCTCTGGTCAAATAAAAATAATAATGAATGAATAAATAAATAAAATTAAGTAAAAATAATTTTTAAAAAATTTAAAAAAGCAGTACGAAGTTGGTTTTATCATTAACCTGATGAGTCCTAATTAATAGACTGTCTCTCTATGTGTATGTGCATATACATATATTTATGTTTTTTTAAAGAGGTTTTTGCCTTAGGGGACGAGCACTCACCGGAGAGAGAGATAGAGACAATGAGAAGGAAAGTGAGAAATCATCCTCCTGGGGGGATGGCCACGCTGCAATCCCTTCTCCTCCATTTTCCTCTTGGGATCTTGGGCACGCACGCACATGCGCCCAGCGTGAGTTTAAGCCACTGGGTCTGGGGCTCAAACCACAATCAGCCATGTGGGAGTCCAGCGATGTAACCACTATGCTATCTGTTGGCCCTAGTGTGTGCGGGCGCGCGCGCGCGCGCGTGTGTGTGTGTGTGTGTGTGTGTGTATTTATTTCTCTATTAAGATGATTTTAGGGGCCGGCAGGTGACATGGTGGTTAAAGCTCTGGACTCCTGCATGGCTAATTGCAGTCCGAATTCCAGACCTGGCGGCTTGCTCTCTCACTTTCTCTTTCTCTGTCCCTCTCTGGTCAAATTAAAAATAAATAAATAGGTGCTGCCACAGCCGCCGGAGCCGCGATGCCTAAAAGAGGGAGGAAGGGAGGCCACAAATGCCAGGCAAGGCAGTACACAGCCCTGAGATCGATGCGCAGCTTCCGGCCGAAAAGCAGACGGCCAGGGAAGAGGAACAAGAAGAAGGTGGAGATGGGGCTGCAGGTGACCCCAAAAAGGAGGAGAAATCTCTAGACGCAGATGAGTGAGGATGCAGAAGATGACTATCAGCAAAAACGCAAGGTGTGGAAGGGCTCATCGACACCGAGAACCCCAACCGGGTGGGTGGCACAGACAACCAAAAAGGTCACATGACTAGGACTGGGCGGGCCAAAGGAGCTGTCAAGAAGAGAACGAGAAGAAATTGAGAAGCAGAAAGCAAAAGAGTGTTACATGAAAATGCATTTAGCTGGGACAACAGAGGAAGCCAAGGCTGACCTTGCCCGGCTGGCAATCATCCGGGAACAGCGGGAGGAGGCAGCAAGGAAGAAAGAGAAGAAGGCAGAAGACGATGCACTTTGTCAGGAGGACGGGTGCAGTCGCTCTCCCCGAGTAAGCAAGCACGGCCGTGGGAGGAGGTGCCAGGGAACTGGGCCACGCTGCCGGGACCTCTGCCGTGTCTCGCCCACCCTTTGCCCTGGCACCACTGCAGCGGCCCGTCATGGCCAGGAGCCCGCTGCAGCCTGGGGCCTCCTCTTCATCTTGGAGCAGCAATTGTTTAGGGAGTGTGGCGGCTGGGGGAGAGGCAGTTGCTACCTTTGAGATAGAAAGATGCAGGGCAGCATTTCTGTACCCATTTGAATGTTTTTGCTGGTTTTAGAATTCAGAAGCCTTGTTGGGGGTGCCTGGGAGGTGGGGTAAGGGGAGCTCCCATTTGGCTGGGAGATGCACGTTAGTGGGCGGCCGTGCTGGGCCAGCTGCTGACCAGTGTGTGACAACCGGCCCATCTGTGTTGCCTGGGTGCTCACTCGGAGCGGATATCATCGGTGTGCCCGTGCCCATGGAGCCCTGAGGGTCATGGCTCATCCCTGGTCAGTCCCTTCTTACTGAGGTCTCTCCTCTCTGCCCTTCCTCATCCCATTCCCACCTTCCTGGCCAGGACCTACCCAGTGATCATTTCAAGAAACCTCTGTTTACGGCACAGCACCCAGGCAAGCATGCTCTACAAACTCAGCTTGTATATTTGGCAGATTAAACTTGACATTATCGTAAAAAAAAAAGTTAAAATAAAATAATTCTTAAAAAAAGATTATTTTATGTAACTTCATTTATTATCATCATCATTTTACAGCTTGATCAGAGAGAAAGAGAGGGAAAGTGAGAAAGCAAGTCACTAGGTAAGGGACTTGAACCATGGTCGGCTATGTGGGAGTCCAGTGCCTTTAACCACCACACCACCTGCTGGCCCCAAGTATATATATTTTTTAAGTTTATTTCCTCCATGAGCAAGAGAGAGAGAGACAGTGAGAGTACCTCAACAGAGACCTAATGTGGCAGTCAACCCCAGCCTTCAGCCCACTCTGAATGGTGCACGAGTACGTGCCTGGGGTACTCGGGTCTCTGGACTTGGACTGGGGACCTTCCCAGGTGAGACTCCTCACAGAGCTCTGCATTTACCATCACACCATCTGACCCATGGGAGTTTATTTATTTCATCCATGAGTACAAGAGACAGAAAGTGAAAGAGAAAACCCCCAATGGGGTCTTCAGGCCACAATCCATGCCCAGCCTCAGCTGACCCCAGGCACGTGTGTACCCGGTGGACTCAGGCAGGTCCCTGGACATGAACCTGAAACCTTCCCATGTGGTCAGACCCTCAGAGCGCTGTGTTACTGGTGCCACTGTCTGGCCCGGCAGACTGTATCTGTAATGATTTCCATTCTTATTTGTCTCTGCTGCTGTGAGCAGAGCCCCCACCCTGCCTCATCCCTGTGTGCCAGGCCAGCCCAGCAGGTTCCAGCTGGAGCCGGATCACCGACTGCTACGTCCTCCCCCTGCTCCACTCACCTCGCATCGGTAGCAATTTTCGTGGAAGTTTCTTCCCATGCACTCAATTTTGAAGGCATCCTTCCCGTCCCGGGGGATGATGGGATTCTCACAGATGCTGCACACGGGGGCGAATTTCCTAGAGGGAAGAGGAACCTACACTCAAGAGGTGTTCATGCCAGCAACCGCAGACATGAGCAGTCAGAACCCAGGCTGGCTCGAGTTCACCTCCGGGAGCTATTCACACCCGTCGCCGCGTGATGCACCTGGAACGCTAGACAGATGCCTGTCGCTTCCTGGCAGGAGTGGATGGAGACCTGAGTAATTAGACCCGGCCCCCAGGGTGTAATTCGCTGGAGGCAAGGAAGTGACTGGAGAGTGTCTGGATCTGAGAAGAGTGTCCAGTGGGCCCGGGCCGCCGGTTTATTACAGGGTACTGCTTTCCTTCTTTCCTTTCCTTCCTTTCTTTTTTTTCTTTCTTTCTTTCTTTTTTTTTTAAAATTTTCCAAAAGTGTTTGTATTTGCCAGAGAGATAGAGAAAGTGATAAAGCACTTCCTCTGGGGCATGGTCATGGCACAATCCCTTCTCCTCCATTTCCCCTGCCTTTAGGGGTTCGGGGCATGCATGCACATGAGCCTGGTATGTTTTTCAAGCTGCCAGGTCCGGGACTTGAACTGCAGTCAGCCTTGTGGGATCCAGCCACCTTAACTACCAGGCCACAAGCTGCCCCCCTTTTTATAGGCACATCTGTCTCTCCCCAAGGGCAGGGACTGAATCTTACAGATCTCTGAGTCCCTCCTGCTTTTTCCAGCCAGCTCTGCAGTTGGGGGCGGGGGGGACCAGGGAGCAAGACCCCAGTCAGGTCTACGGGGTTTTGGATGGCAGCTCTGGCATTTCCCAGTGGGGAGACTCGGAGTCCTTAGCTGCTGGTGCCTCGGTTTCCACATGTGGTAAACAGAGCCCTTCCCAGTACGGCCCAGCTGGACCACCAGGAGGAATAGGTGGACTAGTCCAAGGCAGTGCCCGACAGGTGCAGGTGCTGAGAAAGTGCGGCTGCTGGGGACCAGCAGATGGCGTAATGGTGTGTCACTGGACTCTCACGTAGTCGACCAGGATTCGAGTCCCAGACCCAGTGGCTTAAAACTCACACCAGGTGTATATGCATGTGTGCTCCAAATCCTGAGAGAATGGAGAAGGGACTGCAGCGTGACCTTCCCCCACGGGGGGTGGGGGTGTGATTTCTTGCTTTCTCTCTCTGTCTCTGGCAAGCACACTTGCCCGATGGCCAAAAAATAAGTAAGAGAAAGAAAGAAGGCGTGGCTGCTGCAGGTGCAAACATGTGGCCTATGGACCGGGAGGGTCGTTCTCAGGACAGAGGCTGCAGCGCCCAGTGCTCAGGCTTGGCTCCTCTTCTGCCCGAATGCCACCCTGTCCTCCCAAGTCCACCCACAGGACAGCGCCGTCTCACACCTGTAGAAGTCATCCAGGCAGTACACCTCGTTCTGGTTGTCCAGGGCAAAGCTCTCGTCCCCGATGCACCGAGCACAGGTCACACATGTGAAGCAGCTGGGGTGAAAGGCCTGGCCCAGGGCCCTGATGATGTGCTCCTGGACCACCTCTCCGCACTTGCCACACTTTTCCAGCGTGTCCTGGGACAAAAGACTCCCTCAGCACCATCCCAAGGGCATGCCCACTGCAAGCCACAGGGGCCTTCTGATTGGCTCCTCACAGGGGTTCAGGAAGTCAGAAGAGGCATGCAATTGGCCTATAACCCCTGCCCCCAAACTCTTGCCATTACGCCAACTGCTGGTCCTTCTTGCCATGCTTATAATGGCATGTACCCTTGGCTCATGGTGAGGGCTGTTACTGCAGTTTTTTGTTACTGGGATAAGCTTGAGACTAAGGCCCCACAGCTCAAAGGAGACATTTTCTTAAATCTCAGAATCAGGAAAAGGAATTCCCAGGGAAGCTGATGGGCTTTTATCTCACAGACAACTCCTTCACATTCTCTCCCTTTTCCATTTGACCCCTTGGAAGCAAAGAGTTAAATTCCATGTACTACTTTTAGAATGGAGGAGCAGAGATTGCAGCATGGCCATCCCTCCTAGGAGGTGATTTCTCGCTTTCTATCTCTCTGGCAAGTGCACACGCCCTATAGCAAGAACCTCTTAAAAAACAAAAAGAAAAACAAAAAACAAAAAATCTTTGCCAGGGCCAGCAAGGGGCATGGTGGCTTAGGCGCTGGACTCCTAATTGGTCAATTGCAGTTCAAGTCCTGGACCTGGCGGGTTGGGACTCATTCCAGGTGCATGTACATGTGTGCCCAAAGTCCCCAGAGGTGAATGAAGGGGAAGCATCCACGGCCATACCCCCGGGGCGGGGGAGGATTTCTAAAAAACAAAGCAAATAAAAAGATCTTTTTCCATAGGGTGTATGCGCTCGCTGGAGAGAGACAGAGACAGACAAAGCAAAGACAGGGAAAGTCACTCACTTTCCCAGTGGGGATGGCCATACCACAATCCTTTCTCCTCCATTCTCCTTTTGGGATTTTAGGCATGCATGCACAGGCACCTAGTGTGTTTTTCAGGTTGCCATGTCTGGGACTTGAACTGCAGAGTTGGCCATGTGGGATCCAGCCACCTTAACCTCCATGCCACATACTGGCCCATTGTAGGGGCCTTTTTTTTTTTTTTTTTTTTAAGAATTATTTTATTTAATTTATTATCATCATTTTTATTTGTTTAATTTGACCAAAGAAAGACAGAGAGAGAGAAAGAAAAAGTAGAAAAGCAAGCCCCTATAGGTGTGGGAATCGAACTGTGGTCAACCATGTGGGAGTCCAGTGCCTCAACCACCACACCACCTGCTGCCCCCCTCCCTTAAAAAAAATAGAGCTAGATTCATTCATTCATTCATTCATTCATTCACTTTAGGTTTTTGCTATAGGGCATGTGCACTTGCCAGAGAGACAGTGAGAGAGAAAGTAGGAAAACACTCCCCGGGGGGGATGGCCAAATTGCAATCCCTTCTTCCCCTTTCCCCTAGGATTTTGGGCATGCGCACATACATGCCCGGCATGATTAGCCGCCAGGTCAAACCACAGTCAGTCACATGGGAGACCAGTCACCTTAACTGCCACACCTCACCTGCTGGTCCCAGGTATCTCCCCCCACCCCGGGGGCCTTTTAATATACATTTTGAGTACCAACTTTTCCCCTCATTTCATCTTTCTTTCTACTTTGATTTCCTTTGGCTTATATTTCTTTACTTTATATCCCATAGTATTATGTACATTCTTTTTTGTTTGTTTGTTTGAGAGATCTTTGCATGCACTTGCTAGGCAGAGAGAGAGAGAGAAAGTGAGAAATCATCCCCTGGGGGGGGCATGCTGCAATCCTTTCTCCTCTATTCTCCTTTCAGGACCTTGGGCATACATGTACATGCGTCCAATGTGCTTCAAGCCCCCGATCTGGGACTCGAACTGCAGCCAGCCATGAGGGAGTCCCGTGGCTTAACCACTATGCCACCTGATGGCCATACATTCTTTTTACAACAAACACATTTATTCATTTACATACTTATTTGTTGTGATTTTCAAGCCGCTGGGTTTGGGACACAAAGCTCTGACAGGCATGTGGGAATCCAGCATCCTTAACCACCATAACACCTGCTGGCCCCTGTACATTTTTTAAAAATTAAACTTATTGTGGTAAGAACACTTAACATGACATCTACCCCCTTTTTTTTAAGTTAAGAGAGATTTTTGCTATAGGGTGCGTGTGCTCGCTGGAGAGACAGAGACAGAGACAGAAAGCGAGAAAGCACTCCTCAAGGGGGATGGCCACCCTGCAATCCCTTTTCCTCCATTCTTCTCTCAGGATTTTGGGCACACATGTACACACGTCTAGTGTGAGTTTTAAGTCACTGGGTCTGGAACTCGAACAACAATCAACTAGGAGTCCAGCGACATAACCATTACCCCATTTGCTGGTCCTGAGACCTACCCATTTAACAACATTTTTAAAAAATAATAAGAGTATTTGTATGGGGGGCCCTCAACAGGGTCCTATTGCATCATGACCCCCTTTTCCCAGCTTCTTGAGGTTCTGGATACTCCCAAGTATGCCCAGCGTGTTTTCAGACCGACCTGGGGATCCAAACCTGAGGTCGCCATGTGGCTTCCAGCCTTGCAGGGCACTTGTGTTACCAATGTGCCAAAGGGGCAGAGCCTCCCTTAAGGAGCTGTTGTGTGTACAATGTCACTGTTGACTATGACGTACATAAGCTTATACACTGCTTCGAATCCCTTCTGCAATGAGGAGGCATTTTAAAAAGAGAGAGAACGAATGAGATTACTGAGGCAGGGCAAAGGGGCTGTCTCTACCTTCCACCCTTTCTGCCGCACGTGTCTGTATTCCCCGTCTGCCTGTGCACCTGTCGCTTTTAACCTGATGCCACCTGGACAGATGTGCTGGGGCACACTCCCCCCACCCCCACTGAGGCACATCTGTCTTCTCCCCAACACACTGCTCAGGTCTTCTCTGGCTTTTCCAGAAGTAAGCACCCCTATTCCTCCCTCTCATTGGTGCCTTACCCTGGCCTGGCTCCAGGCAGAGGGAAGAGGGCAGGAACAGCCCCCACCATCATGCTGATGGTGACAGAGTGCCTGGGTAGGGAGAGGCTGGCTCCCTTCTCTTCCCATGCTGCCTCACTGGCTGTGGTAACATGAGGCTGGGACCCAGCGTTCTGAATTTCCTGGATATTTCCAACTCCCCTGCAATCAAGTTTCCCGCTTCAGTGTGCATCAGAATCCCCCAAGACATGTTAGAAATGCGGGCTGCCAGGTGCTGCCTGTTCATGAGGATTAGGTGAGGCCCAGGCACACCAGGTGACATAGCAAGGGCTGGTCTGCATGTCACACACGTGTCACAAACCACAAACACGCCACCACTAACCATGGAAGAGCCAGAAATTCCGGTACGTTGGCACCCACACCAGCTCTCCCAGACCGTGGCTGATACCCGGACGTGGCAGGTGTTAGCCCTCGCGTCAGAACCTTGTGGCTCTGAGAGACCGTGCAGTACCAAAGGCAAGATCTGGGAGCAGGGCGGCCTGGGGTAGACGCCCAGCTCTCGGCCTTCTAAAGCGTGAGCCCGTGTGGTAACTAAGCGATGTCCCCAACGGCACCCAGGTCCTGATCTGGAGCCTGTGGCTGTTCCCATGTGTATGGAAAGGAGACTGCCAATGTCATGAAGTTAAGAATCTCCAGGTGGGGACACTCTCCTGGTCCAGGTGTGGCCTAAATGCAAGTCAGTGTCCCTGTAAGAGGAGGGCTGCCGGGGCTGGATGCTGGCGTAGGGGCAGATGCGACACACAAGGTGGTCGCACACGGGAGGTTCCTGGTTTGTGTCTAGAGGCCTTCTCGAGCACACGGGGCATGCACGTGCCTGTGACCCGGGCCGGCTGGGCATGGGTGCCCAGTCCTGAGAGGACGAGACGTGGGCACGTGTGCCCACAGTCCTGAAAGGACAGGGCGCTGTGCACGGGGACCACAGAGTGACGAGACCCTACCGAGGGCTATCTGCCTCTCTCCTGCGCGTATGCATGTTTCCTAGTATTAAAAAGCTCATGGAAAATACGTAGTATGAAAAACTGCATAGATTTCATTTATTTTTGGTACCAAAAGCAAACTCCCACTTTCATTCCCACTTCCCACGAACTCCCTGCAGGCCCTTGCACACTCGGGTTGAGTTCCTCCTCCTGCTGAGTCTCACCTTCCTGATCTGGGAAATGGGTCAGCTGGCACACACCTCCCAGGACTGAGGCAGGGAACGAAATAAGACATCTTCCAAGTGCCTGGCTCGGCGCCTGGCTCCCAAAGGGCTCCACGGGGTTACCTGGTAGCACGGCTCACAGAGGGGCCGCCCGTCCTTCTGGTAGAAGCTCTGCCCGGCCAGCTGGCGGCGGCAGATGCGGCACGTGAAGCACTGGGCGTGGTACTGCCTCTTCATGGCCTCCACGGCCAGCTCTCTGGGGGACACGGACTTGTGGCAGAAAGCACAGATGTCTAGGAGAGAGGAGACACAGGCCGTCACCAGCCCAGCTGGGGGACTGCACCTCATCACCCAGAGTACTGCCAGAATGCCCAGGCCAGGCCTCGAACCCCTGCGTTCCTCATCGGACAAATACGGAGGAGGAGAGTGATCGGCCTTGGAAAAGCTAAAGTTAGGGATGTGGAGTCAGGACAACTGGGAGGGGCCTCCACAGCAACGCCTGGCCTCACGCAGGTGCTAGGAAGTCTGGGTTTTGGAGCACCCTGGAGTTTGAGTTAGGGGTGCTCAGCCCATCCGTGTGCAGAGGCACCCAGCGGGCCGCAACGGGGGACTGCGAACACGGGGAGGGGCAGAAGGCGGGCTTCTCGCTGTGTGTCCTTTCATGCTTCGTGTTTTTGCGTCATGTAAAGGAATCAGGCATTCAAAAGATCAAACGGTAAGAAATCCAGGTGTTTTTGGTTCAGCAAATGAAGAGGATGGATGTTTTAAAGAGTCTAAAGGGGAGGTCAGGGCAGTAAGAGGCTCTAAAGCCCGTCACTACGTGAGCTGGAACACTCATGGGGGTCCCGCGCTTCTCGGTCCCTCCTGGAACCCCCTGCCGGTCCCTCGAGGGTCCCTCCCTGCCCCATACCCATACCTGTGGTTGCTTCTCTGTCAGGGAAGCCAGCAGCCTCTTCTGGAGGAGGCGGCAGCTCGTCCTCTGAGGGCCTAAGGTGGCCAGGCCGAGGCTGGCCTGCAGGGCTGTCTTCAGGGGCCTGTGGGGACACAGAGGGTGTACAGAGGAGAGGCTGCCCCACTCTGTCCCTCCTGTGGTGGCCCCACTGTGCAGAGAAAGCTGAGGCCCAGGAGCAGGCCCAGCAGGAAGCTGCCCGGTGAAGGTTCCGGGGGCCACTGGCTCCTCGCCCTGGGTTCCCTCAACCTGCCAGAGCTACCCCTTCCACGGAATCTTCTGGAATCAGGTTTTCCCAGAGATGCTGGACCAAAGTGGACTTAGCCCTCGGACGGGTCCCTCCCACTGCACCCGGCTTCTGTTAGGGGCAGGGGACCACACATGGGTTTCTGGTGCAGCATCAGGGATCTGCTCAGACACGGGGAAGTGCCTTCTTCAGGGTGCCCGACGGGGAACGGGTGCGGTGTCCCCTCTCTGGGGGCCTAGAAAAACCCCACCAGCTCTTACCAGCCTGACTGGGGACTTCAAGGAGCTTGGAAGAGGAACCACCTCCAGACACCCGCTCCCTGGCCCCAGGAGACCAAGGGGTTACAGGGCTGTCAGTACCTGTGGTGGGGGCGGGGGCGGCGGCGGGGG